CAGATCCCTCAATCAAGCCAATGAACCACAGGATCTGGTACCAGCCAAGCGCCTCAACTCGAAATCATTGCAAACTTGGCAAGTGCACGAAGATATTCATGCTGGAACATGCTGGAGCACGTGAATGCATTGCAACATATCTAAGTACATCCAATCACTAGTCACATCTAGTCAACAGCTTTCCGCAACAAACTGCAGTGGCGTGAGAGATCATGACACTTCATGAAAGTGAGTGTTGCAGCATGCTTCATGTCATGATATGTCATTATACGCCTGTATATTATATATATATATATGTATATATACATTATATACATATTTGTGATGTTCCATCATTTTCCCAAATTAATTCGATTTTCTAAGCTCAAGGCTGGAACTTTCGAGATGGCCGCAAGACCACCGGGCACATCACTGAACTTCAGACCCAGAGAAGGGCTCAAGTAACCTATCACATTCTGTGACATTGGAAGTGGATGTGCATGACCCGTATAAACTCTGGAGCTTCACACTCACAACACCACACAACATCTCACAACACCACACAACATCTCAAAACACTACACAACATCTCAAAACACTACACAACATCTCAAAACATCACATAACATCTCACAATGTCTCACAACATCTCAGAACATACAGCCCGAATATTGCATCACTTCAGAAATCCTCCAAGTCAAGCATGGTGAAACTGGATGTAAAGTCATGTCAGTGAGTCAACTACGATGTCAAAATACGTCATACTTTGATAATATGATATCATGTGATATCATATCATATGATATCATAATATGAGGCTGACATGTCGTTCTTCAAAAGTTAAAAAAGTTGATCGCACCTGGAAATTTGTAGTATTCTGGGACGATATAGCCCATTGTCGCGAACATTGCCACCCTGCCGTGCTTGATCTCAACTGCTCGGCGTCTTCGGAATGTGGCTGCATCTGCGTTGGCGTTCAATCCGAGGGGATCCCAGTAACCGATGGGTGCCTGCACACCAAGGTCAGTGGAGGAGACGGTTGCTGACGAAGAGGAAGTAGACGTAGACTTGGAGCCACCAAAGGATCCGGCGCCCATTCCTCCATCAACGGATCCAGCACCTCCCTTGAACAGCACATCCTGCGTGGATGCACGGAGAGGAGAATCAGCGTAGTTGGCCCAATCGCCCCATGCAGATCCGGTCAAACCTCAGGACAACTTACATCAACTCGCACCTTGCACAGCGAACCGCAGCGAATCACAAAAGCTCGGTAACCTCTCCAAACAGTGAAACAACTCGCGATATCTACAACATTCTACAACACATTTGCTCCGCAACGGTACAACATGTTCCAACATGTTCCAACATGTTCCAACATGCTCCGAAGTGGTTCAACTGGAGGGTGGCGCTAAACCCCAGGTTCGCCTACACCCAAAGAACACACCCAAACAATATCATATACTTGTCATCATACTTGTCATCAGAGGATGAATGAAAACACTGGCTATACGCAGCGATTTTGACTTTAGGTTTTTCGGATTGAGGGTTTTAATTTAGGGTTTAGGTTTTTCGGGTTTTAGGGTTTTAGGTTTTGGAAGGTAAAAAATCGCAAGCCCTACGCAGGGATTTGAGCATGTCAAAGGATATGCGGAATCCGATGCGGGCAAACGTGGGGTTTGCAGCGAACATGTTAAAACCTATGTTGAAGCTCCAAAAGCGCTGGAGATTGACTGGAAATGCCGAAAGGACAATGACAATAAGATCACACGACACTTGAAACACGCAAAGAACATGCAAAGAACATGCAAAGAACATGCAAAGAACATGCAAAGAAAAAGAACGCGCAAAGAACATGCAAAGAACATGCAAAGAACATGCAAAGAACATGCAAAGAACATGCAACACGCTGAGCACAACACCATCTTGAAAGAACATACCGATAATGGCCATCATTGCCAGACGTCCGTTTGCAAGTTCAGCATTCAACTTGGATTTCTTCACCGCGGGGTCAGAGACCTTGCCCAGGAAGGTAGGAAATCCAACGCCATAGTCGCCCGGAGTTCCAGACATGGTGGCATCCTTCATGAAGCCCAAGCCATACTTTCCAGAGAAGAACCCAGATCCCTCAATCAAGCCAATGAACCACAGGATCTGGTACCAGCCAAGCGCCTCAACTCGTGCACGGAGATATTCATGCTGGAACATGCTGGAGCACGTGAATGCATTGCAACATATCTAAGATGATCTAAGTACATCCAATCACTAGTCACATCTAGTCAACAGCTTTCCGCAACAAACTGCAGTGGCGTGAGAGATCATGACATTTCATGAAAGTGAGTGTTGCAGCATGCTTCATGTCATGATATGTCATTATACGCCTGTATATTATAATATGTATATAATAATATATATATATTATGTATATATACATTATATACATATTTGTGATTTTCCATCATTTTCCCAAATTAATTCGATTTTCTAAGCTCAAGGCTGGAACTTTCGAGATGGCCGCAAGACCACCGGGCACATCACTGAACTTCAGACCCAGAGAAGGGCTCAAGTAACCTATCACATTCTGTGACATTGGAAGTGGATGTGCATGACCCGTATAAACTCTGGAGCTTCACACTCACAACACCACACAACATCTCAAAACACTACACAACATCTCAAAACATCACATAACATCTCACAATGTCTCACAACATCTCAGAACATACGGCCCGAATATTGCATCACTTCAGAAATCCAAGTCAAGCATGGTGAAACTGGACGTAAAGTCATGTCAATGAGTCAACTACGATGTCAAAATACGTCATAATATGATATCATATGATATCATATCATATGATATCATATCATATGATATCATAATATGAGGCTGACATGTCGTTCTTCAAAAGTTAAAAAAGTTGATCGCACCTGGAAATTTGTAGTATTCTGGGACGATATAGCCCATTGTCGCGAACATTGCCACCCTGCCGTGCTTGATCTCAACTGCTCGGCGTCTTCGGAATGTGGCTGCATCTGCGTTGGCGTTCAATCCGAGGGGATCCCAGTAACCGATGGGTGCCTGCACACCAAGGTCAGTGGAGGAGACGGTTGCTGACGAAGAGGAAGTAGACGTAGACTTGGAGCCACCAAAGGATCCGGCGCCCATTCCTCCATCAACGGATCCAGCACCTCCCTTGAACAGCACATCCTGCGTGGATGCACGGAGAGGAGACTCAGCGTAGTTGGCCCAATCGCCCCATGCAGATCCGGTCAAACCTCAGGACAACTTACATCAACTCGCACCTTGCACAGCGAACCGCAGCGAATCACAAAAGCTCGGTAACCTCTCCAAACAGTGAAACAACTCGCGATATCTACAACATTCTACAACACATTTGCTCCGCAACGGTACAACATGTTCCAACATGTTCCAACATGTTCCAACATGCTCCGAAGTGGTTCAACTGGAGGGTGGCGCTAAACCCCAGGTTCGCCTACACCCAAAGAACACACCCAAACAATATCATATACTTGTCATCATACTTGTCATCAGAGGATGAATGAAAACACTGGCTATACGCAGTGATTTTGACTTTAGGTTTTTCGGATTGAGGGTTTTAATTTAGGGTTTAGGTTTTTCGGGTTTTAGGGTTTTAGGTTTTGGAAGGTAAAAAAACGCAAGCCCTACGCAGGGATTTGAGCATGTCAAAGGATATGCGGAATCCGATGCGGGCAAACGTGGGGTTTGCAGCGAACATGTTAAAACCTATGTTGAAGCTCCAAAAGCGCTGGCACGACACTTGAAACACGCAAAGAACATGCAAAGAACATGCAAAGAAAAAGAACGCGCAAAGAACATGCAAAGAACATGCAACACGCTGAGCACAACACCATCTTGAAAGAACATACCGATAATGGCCATCATTGCCAGACGTCCGTTTGCAAGTTCAGCATTCAACTTGGATTTCTTCACCGCGGGGTCAGAGACCTTGCCCAGGAAGGTAGGAAATCCAACGCCATAGTCGCCCGGAGTTCCAGACATGGTGGCATCCTTCATGAAGCCCAAGCCATACTTTCCGGAGAAGAATCCAGATCCCTCAATCAAGCCAATGAACCACAGGATCTGGTACCAGCCAAGCGCCTCAACTCGTGCACGGAGATATTCATGCTGGAACATGCTGGAGCACGTGAATGCATTGCAACATATCTAAGATGATCTAAGTACATCCAATCACTAGTCACATCTAGTCAGCTTTCCGCAACAAACTGCAGTGGCGTGAGAGATCATGACACTTCATGAAAGTGAGTGTTGCAGCATGCTTCATGTCATGATATGTCATTACATGCCATTGTATTGTCATTTTCCAAAATTATTTCTATTTTCTAAGCTCAAGGCTGGAACTTTCGAGATGGCCGCAAGACCACCGGGAACATCACTGAACTTCAGACCCAGAGAAGGGCTCAAGTAACCTATCACATTCTGTGACATTGTAAAAACTCTGGAGCTTCACACTCACAACACCACACAACATCTCAAAACACTACACAACATCTCAAAACACTACACAACATCTCAAAACATCACATAACATCTCACAATGTCTCACAACATCTCAGAACATACGGCCCGAATATTGCATCACTTCAGAAATCCAAGTCAAGCATGGTGAAACTGGATGTAAAGTCATGTCAATGAGTCAACTACGATGTCAAAATACGTCATAATATGATATCATATGATATCATAATATGAGGCTGACATGTCGTTCTTCAAAAGTTAAAAAAGTTGATCGCACCTGGAAATTTGTAGTATTCTGGGACGATATAGCCCATTGTCGCGAACATTGCCACCCTGCCGTGCTTGATCTCAACTGCTCGGCGTCTTCGGAATGTGGCTGCATCTGCGTTGGCGTTCAATCCGAGGGGATCCCAGTAACCGATGGGTGCCTGCACACCAAGGTCAGTGGAGGAGACGGTTGCTGACGAAGAGGAAGTAGACGTAGACTTGGAGCCACCAAAGGATCCGGCGCCCATTCCTCCATCAACGGATCCAGCACCTCCCTTGAACAGCACATCCTGCGTGGATGCCTTCAGACCCTTGATGCTCTTCTGTGCTTTGGTCTTTCTGGTTGAGGCAACAATGGCAGCACCAACTGCTGTCACTCCCAGAGCTGCCCCACTCTGCATTGGAGAACTTGCTGAGGTTGGAAAATCACCTTGGGTGAAAATGTGAAGTCACCTGGGTGAAGTTACAGTTCATAAGGACTCTGCCCCGTGTCGAGACATGTTTAAAAGAAATATTTCATGTAGAATCAAAGGCTGATTTGTCCACTTCATTCCCGTGTGGTTCAAATACTCGAAAAATGTTTCACCGCCTCAAAGGATCCGAAATTGGATGTTAAGCACTTCACTGCTGCCGCGGAGTCCTCCGGCATGGCTTTGGCCTAGGTGAGGAAAGATGACGAAACTAAACAATGTTAGAGACGAATTCAACATAATTCAACTACCCTCTGGTAAACTAACATAACTATGGAAAATCACCATTTTTAATGGGAAAATCCACTATAACTGGCCATTTTCAATAGCTATGTTAAATTACCAGAGGGTAATTCAAGAATGATAAGAGGAACAGACCCAACACAACATCTTTGTGGACTCCTTCCACTGCGATGTAGGTGGACATTTTCCGGCTGTTGACAATATCCCAAGAAATTGAACTTTTGCTGAGGATGGGGCTAGGTTGAGTGGGCAGCACAAAAGCGCTCTGAGTCAGCGATTGCATCGCCATGGCCTTGGCTACAATCGTTTCAAAAGAGCTGTGTCATAAACTGTTCCGAGTTTTGCAACAGATGCAAGAACTGTGCCAGCTATTGCATTGAAACCAAATTGAGGTGCGCACACAATGTCCACTCTGGCTTGGAAAAGACCGCTAAGAAAATCTACCCCCAGTAGCCCGTGAAAACTGCAACAGCATCCACACAGACCAACACGAGGGCGGTTGGAACCTGCGATTTTGGACGGGGAATCAGATTGAAATTAAGTGCGCCTGCAGGATGGAGACGGAGGTGTGAGGCAAGGGAAAATGAATTGGCGGGAAGAAAACATCAACATCACAAGGAAACGGGAAGACGATGTTTTGATTTCATAATACAATGAAAAGAAGGAGGAACCTGGGAACCTGTGGTTCAGTTGCGGTTTGCTTCTGCTTTCTCCGGATTCCTTTGGCCGATTTCCATGACACCCCACAAGGCAACGTTGGCCGCATGTGAAACTGTCACTGTCAGTGGTGAATTTTAAGTTCTGTGAAAGTTCCGGTGACTGGTCTTGCTGGAATAATTCTTTAAACATCTTTAAACCTTGCTGTACATCTCGGGAATGTCACAAATGAATGATGATCAATCAATGAGCCACATCAGTCCTTTGCCTCCAGTCATTACAGTAGGACACCTCCATAGTTCAAATTGATCCCATCGCATCCTTTTGATTTCTCTTCATGTCAAGATCCAAAGCATTGCAGAAGTACCAAAAAGTAGACACGTCCAATTGTTGGTGTCTATTTTCCCCGAACCAACATTCAAAACATAGAAACAGCGCCATCATTGTATGTTGGTTATTAATTTGCCTTGCTGGTGGTTCCATAAATGGGTGTACCCCAAAATTGTCAATTGGGACATGATCAGTCATGAATCTACCACTGATTCTTGGCTCCGTGGCATGAAACTGAGAGGTCAATGTTTCCATTGCCTCAAACATCCGTTGATTCCGTTGTGCCTCTTTGAGATGGTCACCAACATTCACTGATCATATCTGATCATCTTATCCGTGAATGTCTTCCAACATTTTCCAACTCGACCTCTGGATCATGTGAGAGATCAAAGGGGCACCCGGAGATTGGCTCCACAAGGCGTGTTTCGTCACAAGTCTGGCCCAAGTCGCAGGTATCCTCACAAAAAAAAAAACACATCAGCACATCAGCACATGGCAACAAATACTTGCCCTGTCACCATGATGTCACCATCCAGGTTCGATCCGTTTGTCCTGTCGTTCAGGCTCCGATCACAGCCTTGAAGGCCTCACCGAACATGGTGAGTTTCTGACGGCATGCTCTCCCAAATCATATAAATCATACATGAAAATGAAGATGTGAAATCATGTGAACATGATTTTGTCTCAGAGGCCAGATGATCGTTTTTATCCCTCCTCATCCCTCCTCATCCCTCCCGACATTTTCAGATGACATTTAAGTGACATCGACAGCCGATTGGCCGATTGGAAACATACCTGGCCTTCTTAAACTCCTTGTAGGTGATCTGGTAATCCCGCGTTTCAGCTGCCTCAGTGCTGCTCATCGCAGGTTTGGACTGTCAATCTCGACTGTTCTACCACGTTCTACCCTAGGGACTGCTTGGATCTGTTTTTACCATCTTTTACCCTTATTTGTTAGATACTCCCTCTGTATGTATAATATAAACATACGTGTATAAGTATATGTAATTTATATATATACACACTTTTTGATATTGATAGGCACTGTTACATAGTACAGAACTATAGGCTATATGGATATAACATGATATAACATGCTATAACTATCAGCTATCATCCATCTATATCTATAGATATCTATAGATAGCTATAGATACCTATAGATAGCTATAGATAGCTATAGATAGCTACAGATAGCTATAGATAGCTATAGATAGCTATTTGTCCACAGAGTTACAGCAACAGTTGCAGTTGATAACGATCCTGAGAGCCTGGCATTCGGATCATAGATGAGTCGACGTTCCTTCACCCACTTCTCTTTTTGGCCACACTGAGAGCGGCGCGACGGCGCGATGATCCAACAATATAGAGATATACAGAATAATATAGAAAACAGACTGAACACGTAAGTAAAATGTCTGATTGCTTCAAGGAGATTATGATGTTTAATGATTTCTTCACTTCTTAAGTGCAAATTAGAGGCATAATAGACTTTCTCATGGGAGAGCCAGCACGATATATCTCCTGCGACGTCAACGTGTGGACTGGATGTCACTGGGTCAAGTCAAAATCTGAGGAGCTTTGCTCGGCCCATGCCCAATCTGTTTGGCAATTAAATAAGATGAAATGTAGACTGCAAGTCAATGATTCTTATATGATCTGCATACAGTGTATATATATAAGTATACCAATATTCATAATGTATATAATATGTGCATATATACATACATATATAATTATATATATATATGCATATACACATTTGAATACACTTTAAGCACATCAAAGGTTTTTTGAGACGCTTTCCTTTGGGAAAGCCATCGAGGAACTCCGGAATCTCGACCTCAGTTGCTGCCACGAGAACTCCCCATAGCGACGCCGGGATCAAAATATGCAACTGAGCAACACTAGGATCTTCCGCCTGCTTCCTTGGCCATGACAAATGTTTCTCAAATTATGTCCTATCAAAACATATCCTTCATCTTCCAACTCACACCCTTTTCTGAATTGTTTGTTATTTGAGAATATTTCAGATATTTAAGACTCGTTTTCATATATGTTTTCATATATTATATGGTATATTTATATGATATTTACATGTTCATAAATATCTTTGTGCGTTGATTCTCCATGGTTTCCCTTGTTCCTGGCACGGCTGAGTTTCGCTTTGGCCTCCGAGATGAGCTCCTCCACTTCCTGGAACGACAAGTCGAGTCGAGTTCAAGGCAAAGGATCTTGGCCACAAACGAATACCAAAGTAAAAATCATGGTAAATATCATAGTGAATTTTACCATAGTAATATTTGCTATATCATGATAATTCATGATATATACCATAGTGAATCATATTTACTATATCATAGTGAATATGGTAAATCTCATGGTGAATCATAGTAAATATCATAGTGAATCAGTGAGAAAACAATGAGAATCAATGTTCGTTTTCACGAATAGTAGATAGTAATCAGAAGTCATCAGATAGTACGAGCAACTAAGAGGTTCTAATATTGCTCTAATATGCTCTATAATTAATATTATCTATTGTCACGGATTGGCACTGCCACGGTTTTGACGTTTGCACCTGTTCATCCTGTTTAAGATTGTTCAATCCTTTCACGTTGCTGGATCCATGTGATTCCATGTTCAATCCTCATCCGTCAAGCGTTTCTTCTTCTTTTTCCTGGACTTCTGAACCTGGATGTCAAAGCATGTGAAAGCTGCGTGCTGCATGCTGCGACTGGCTCTTCAATCATGTTTTTTTAGAGCAATGTCGGAAATTGATGGAAATCGTCGAAATCGTTCAAAAGCTCTGCTTCCAGGGTGCGTCGATCAAGTCGAAGACTTCTTTCCTTAAAACATCTTAAAACTATAAAGATCCCTAGCCCGGCAAAGCGAAAACAAGTTGCATCCTGGGCTGTACACTGCGATGAGATCCGTCTGGCTTTGATGTTCACCCCAGGTACGAGTTCAGATAGTTCAGCTGGGTGGCAGCAGATCATCGTCAAGGTCATAACCCAATGATGAGGTGGCCCTGGACAGAAGGGAAACAATGGAAAACAAATCAATAGGAAAAGAAGAAAAGAAGAAAAGAATTGAACAGATTTCTTTTGTGAAAAGCTCGACTTCAACTTCGGATTTTGTGGCAGTGTTTGTTCTGGAGATGAGTACTTTTTGCCAAGTTTCGACTTGAACTCGGTGAAAGAAATCTTGCCGCTGCCGTTTTCTTGGCGCAACACAGAAAGTCATCTCTAGATGTCAGCAGTCTAAGTCAGAGCTTTCCGCAGTTGTTGAGCGCTCATTTTTCAAAACGGTTCAAAACAAACGGGACATGTCATGGAAGTTTTGATGCATCAAAGGAGCCGTCCATCTTTTTGAAGATGTCCTTAGTAAGTGCAAATCCGTGCGAATCCAGATAAGCACGAATGCCATTTCCATTACATCATTTACACCTCTTTGAAGACTGTCGTCTTTTTGTGTCGGCCAAGACACCTTCAGCTTTGTGGGCTTCTCACCTTCTGCCGGTGGTGTGTCCTTCAGTTCTTGAATGAACTCCATGAACTCAGTCATCGCCTTGAGCAAAAACAAACATACACAAACGCACTTATTCGATCTTACTCGCAGTGAATTCAATGGTGACAAATGTCGGACCTCGGCTGGGGTGGAAGGACCTGAAAAAACTTTCTTGGTGATCACAGTTGCCTGGCAGATTTGACAGTCCAATGGGATGCAATCGCCCATCATTTGGCGCTCTCCTGCTACAGTCACTGCCTCTGCGCCGCCATGGAAAAGCCAACGGATGAACTCTGTGTAGGAAACCCGCTCATCGCTATTGGTGTCCTCAGCCATAGCTCATTGACACAGTTGACACAGCTGTTACAAGGTTACAATACATTATATAATATATATATATATTATATATATATATATATACATTCAACATCATTCGACACTTGCTGTCCCAACTGCAGCTGTTCCATTGAAAACGGTGCAGGTGCAACTCATGTTCCTTCGCTTTGACATGCTTTGACATTCCCGGACTGCCACGACCGCAGTCAGCAGTCTCTCATCCAGCAGAGCGGCCATGACCTTGTAAATCTTGGTCACCTGCAGTGGTTTGAAACAATTTGAAACATGAAAAGATCATAAAAGATCTCTATTGACCCAGATGAAGACGTTGCGACAAAACAAACTTTCGGCTTTGAAATCTTTGAATTCTAAGGATCGGATCGTCTTTCCACACAAGTTCTTCGCTTGACATCATTGTAATGTGGGCAAATGGAATGATGGAATTGGGAAACTCATGGAGGTTGTGGTGGCATGTGGTGACATCCTTGCGGGCAAAGTACATCAGCATTCTTCAAGCCAACACCACACAAGGCACGCCGAAGTTCGTCCGTACTGAGTGTGCCTGAACCACAGCATTTTTTAGGGTCAAGATGGGTCAAGATGGGTCAAGATCGGTATGAGTGGCTCAACTTACTGGCTCGCGAAGCTTCACCCACAAAAGCAGCCTTTCACACTGTGTCACGCATTACATCTTGATGTCAACCTGATTCGGGAATACATCTGATATAGTCTATTGTTGATCTTCATACTCTCTATATACATATATCAGCCTCATACATCCTTCTATGTGTATATATATACTGTATATACGCTGTAAGACACTGCAAAAAGATCTGTAAGATTGACATCTTGGTGGCAAAGTTGGTGGTCAAAGCACCATGAAACGCAATCCGACAGAATTCCCCGCCGTCACAGTTGGAGTCAAACCTGTTGAAGAGAGCTTGCAAACTCTCCTGAAGCATCTGAGGCATCCACATCCAAATCATCCAAGCTGGATTAAAGTTAAAGGTGTCTGCTTAAAAAACTGCTTTATGCTGCCTTCACATTCTTCAGCTTTATCTTGTCTTGTGATTCAAGGCTCAGAGGCATCTAGTAAGGTTCTAGGGCAATGGCCGGATCGGTATTGTTATTATATCATATTATCGTCATATTATGTCATTATGTTCATTGTTTTAGATCAAGGGCGATGAATCTTCTGCCAAGTTTTCTGTCACATGTCACGGGCCGCCAGTGTCCCGTAGCACATAGCACGTAGCACTGGGAATCCGCACCTTCTGTGCCCATTCTTCCAAGGTGCTCATTCCGCGTTTCTGGCACAAGGTCTTTCAGTGCGTAGTGCAAAGTGCAAGACATCCCACTGATCCCCAGGGGAAAAAAACGAGCCTGGCACTTCAAAGGCAACTGACGCTTGGACCCACAGCTGGAGGCAAAAAGTTGCGAATTGGCAGACAATGGCAGACAGGCCAGACCAAATCTTTGTTAATTTCTGGTAGCGAAGGCCAAGTTCTCCTTTCCTCCAAAGCTTCAATCAAATTGAAACCACCCAAAACATTCCTACATATTCTTCTCGAACTGCTTTCAAACGACTAGCTTTATATCAGTCGTAGGATCAATGGTGTCCCATGTGTCCCTTCTCGCTGTTTCTGCATTTTTGCAAGGCACTCTTTTTCAGAAACGAGTGCCGCAGATATCCGCAGATTCTCATTTCCAGAATTGCCACCTGCAGCAGAATGCTGCATAGCTTTGACAAAGGTCCGAAAGCCTTTCAAAAGCTGTTCCACGTACCCTTTCGACACCAAAAAAAACCATCGGAAGTGACAAATTCCCAAGCGACCCTTTTATTTTGCAGCAAGCGACCATGCTTTCCGTCGCAATCGGATGCTCAGGGCTTCACCTTACTGCAGAAATTCACTCCATAGTGGAAGGAAGGGATAATGAACCAAGCTAAGCCCGGTCAGGGCAATGTTTCGGCTGTTGTTGATACTGTTGATGTATGTTGGTGGTGTTGTTGTTGATGATGATGATGGTGGTGATGGTTTTCACCTTTTCCCGAAGGCACTGTATGGTCTGTATGCAGAAGAGATGCAGCCATGGTCACTAGGCCACTCCCCCGTTGCTTCACAGTCTTTGTGGGAGTCTATGATGGCTCCTTGAGGTGGCAACACGTGGCAACGCATCAAAGTTTCACTGTGCTCTCACAGCAGTAAAAACTGGTGGCCAAGCAGCGTCGAGATGCTTCATCAAAGAAAAGTTCAGTCTGAAAATCCTGCACATGGCAGTTGTGACTTCCATGAAGTCATCAATGGATTCTGAAAATCTTGAATCCAATCTTGACAAAAGCTTCAAAAGCTTCACAATTGAGACACTTTGGTAACGCTACCCTTCACCCTGTCCGCGTCCTGTGTACGTTCCCGGACCCAAATGTAATCAATTTTCAGCCCTGGCCGAAGTTGAACAATCCGTGTCTCTTTGGATTTGCTCTGCGGCATTTCAGCCCAGGCCTTGACCGGGTGTCTGGGCCTGACCAATGAAAACATTCCCCAAACATCTTGAAAAAGTCTCATTTCAACATCTCGTGAGTGTTTCGACATAGACAATCTAAAAGAATATAGTAATTAATAATTCATATAATGTAATAATAATGAATAGTAATTAGTAATAACAATAATAATAGTGATAATAATGATAATAATGACAATAACAATAATTATAGATAATAATAACTAATAACTAATAACTAATAGTAATGATTAATACATAACATATTTATATGTATTTCAATCATGTCACGTTTCTATGAATCCGTGATGATTGTTCGAGGTCTTTCACCTTTTCTCAAGGTGTACCAGCAAAATGCATGTGAAGATTTGTGAAGTGGGAAGGTCACCCTAGGTCACCCTAGGTCACCCTCAAACCGCACTCCCTGCCTGTTTGTTTCCTGGCCGTGAGACCTGTGGAAGATCTGGTGCCCTGCGCAAAGTCACGTGCCTCGCAGCGTTTGCACATATTCTAACATATTCTAACAAGGTTCCGGGATGTTCCAGGTCTCTCTGCTCCAGGTATGCTCAGGGCTAAGTTTTTCATCGTTTTTGGATCGTTTTTGGAAGATCCCAAATCGTTTTGATATGTCTTGATTGGTCGGCTGTCTGTTGATGTCGTATGATCTGCGCACTGAGACGCACACTTGCCGTCAAACGGGCAAGGGACAGTGCCTCGCCACGAGACATGCTCTGGGACCAAAAATTGTCAAACATCATTTCCACAGGGGGGTGTTCCTAAAACATGGGTACCCCAAATTCATCCAAAATCTGACCACTTTGGTATTGCAAAAAATGGGCTCGGGGTATATTTGAAGAAACATCTATATAATATAATCCTGTATATTTCCATACGGTACCTAGAAATCTCAACCGAGATCAACCGAGAGTGTAAAAGTGTGTAAACGGATCACATCCACTGGTCCTTGTTCTTTTGGGGATAGGGCATGATAGGGCTTTAGACCTGCAACGTCAGCGACCCGTCAGTGGCCTGCACTTCTCTCCTGAAAGTCTTCATTGAAGTCAGCCTGAGAATGGCTGATCTCAGGTCACATCGGGTCACAAAAAGCTTCATATTCCCATTCCCAAGTTGTAGGACCCGTAGGAAGCCGTTGAAGCCATGGTTTCAGCCAAGCCACGGTGATGACCTCGATCTGCGCTGTGCCCTCTGCAGCAAACGCACCAAAAGCATCCAGCTGCTCCTGGTTCCGACCTACGAAAGACCATCAAGTCACATTGAGCAAGCCTCACTTGAATCTCATGGAATTATCATTTTGACATGCAGGAATTGAAGTATGTATAACGTATTCCTCAATTAAAAGTAAGTTAAATTGTAGAATGTGACTATGTATTCGCTGCAGAATAGAACTAAGAATGAACTAAGCATGAAGTCTGAAGAGAAATGGGACACGGAAACAATCATGCTTTGGACTGCAACAGCAGAGAACTGCCGTGAGTGCCTCTCATGTGGCCAGTGATCACTCGGATGCGGGCGCCGCACGGATGCTGAAAATCGACTCCTCGATTCGCATCACAGTTTGGATTCCCCATGATTCCCCCACAACATCCCACAACCCAAATGCCAAATGATGCCAAATGATGTCAAATGATGCCAAATGCCAAGGCCTCCAAAGATCACTTTGCCTGCTGAACACATGCGGATCAAAGCAGATTCTGTCACATCTGCTACGCTTCCCTCTCTTTTCATTTGTTCCCTAAGAGCGGTGCAAACACTTTCAGATCTGTGCTGATCTGATTGATCTGTGATCTCTGCCCAGAACTGACCCATATTGACCCATCCCGGGACTCTCATCACGGCCTTTGAAATCCCGCTCTGACCATGATGGAGCAGCACAAACGCTGCTCTTCACAGCGATGAGGAGACCTTCACGATTGAAAACAACTCTGCTCTTGGAGATCATACTGACATCATACTCACCACACCCGGACCCCTAGTATATCCTAGTATGCTGACCACGGCTTTGGGCATATCATACGTGTTTGGTGATAGCTAGTTTAGATCTTTCGGCCATCAAGGTATATCAAGGTGTG